GGTGATCAGCAAGACTGTAGAATGCTAATGCCACGGAATCACTAAAGGGAATTAACAGTTAGGCAACCTTATGTTTATAAGTTCCACCCAAGTCTGTCACCATATTCTGCTTTGGTGCTTTGAAATGTTGCACCAATTTCTGTACAGATGTTTTCAGACTCTTGCTAGTCTCTTGTGGCATATTTCGAACACCTTCAGTCTCCGAAGAAATGATATGACGATTATCCGTTTTCGAAGGCAACTTCTGACAATTTCCAGTACTTACAAATGTAGGTGTTGATTTCATTTCATTACTGCAAGAGACTTGTGATTCATTTCTCCAAAACTCATCTGAAGGCAGCATCTTCAAAGATTTGGAGCATTCTGAATTATATTCTACATTTGGCATACCACGGTTACCAGGAGACCTAACGATTCTTGTCACTTTATCAGCAGGCATCGGATCTAAATTTTTACATTTTTCAGTTGAAGATGTCCTTGCAGCACTGGAGGATCTTGCAGTCCTCAACTCACTTCCACCCTGTCCAAACTCTTCCAACACAGCAACACTATCTCCATTCCTTTTATTTCTAATGCTAGTCGACCTGAGGCTATCATCAGCCTTCGTCTTTTCAATCTTGCTGCCACCTGGTGGGTGATTAACTGAATAAACAGATGGTGATGGGCTTGGCACTTCAGCATCACACGACCGAGATATAGTTTTTGACTTGTGAGAACGAAAAGCAACAGGCAGTGCTTTATCTGGCTGGATAGGTGTTTCAAACTCAACAGCCTCGCTAGTAGATGCATCAGATGATGATTCACTACGTTCGGTGGAAGAATAGAAGCAAGATGTTGAGCTACTTGAAGATCGAGAATTATTAAATTCTTGACTGGCATCAGAACATATTTTCATTTCATTTTGCAAGTGAGTCGCATGGTTTTCTGAAGCAGTTTCCACATCATATCCACTTTTGTAGCTAGCACCAGGTGAAGTTGCTTGCCGACACTCATCCTTATGACCTTGTCTCCAGTGGATTATTTGGCACTTGCCAGAACTAGCAAAAATGGAAAAAGAAATGAAAATATAAACTTGAGGGGGAAAGGAGCAACAAAATACAACCAAAAATTATCTTATTTTTCACAAGAAACAGTTCCAAGGCTCAAATTAACCAAGATCATGTCATTATTATCTCATGTTAGTCTGTACTAGAAAATAAACCCTTCATACCCACATCAACTATGCACTCAAAATAGCAGTTTCCATCTGAATGGTACAATACATCAACATCAACATCAACATACCCAGTATATTCCCAAACAGGTTGGGGTCTGGGGGGTCAGTTGTACGCAGACCTTACCCTTGTAAATTACAAGGAGGTTGTTTCCATAGCGACCCAAGGTGCGTTGCGTCGTTTGATATATTTTTTCTAGAAACTTCACTAATAGAAGAAGCACTAGAATTTAATTGAGCCATTTTGATCTAGTCCATTATTTGCACGATGCCAGAAGAATTGTCAACACTGACTCTTCCAGCTCCATTTGCAATGGACTCTTCCATCTGAATGGTACAATAGGGTGTGAAATTCCCATTGGAACCAGACTTTGCACTGCTCATTTTGATATCACAACACCAGCCATTCAACTCAGAAGGTAAGTGATGCATCTAATTCCTCAAACAAACAAAAAAAATGATTGCACGAGACATGAAAAAACTATGACAAATTTGCCTTTTAAAATACTGTTTTCTGGGTACAACCAAGTACATTATTCATATTAAAAAATTGTGCTCACAGGTCTATATTAGTGTCTTAACGGACAAGTATTTCAATAAATCTTCTCTCTGTGTGAATGTGTGTACTCACAGCAGGGCGTACACTAATCCACTTACAATCAGCAAATTTAGTGGTTTCCACAGGTGAGAGAATACAATTGTAACTCATGCAACACTGGTCACAGGTAAAAGGTGCGAAAACATATAGAAAAACTATATGCCTCCAGCCAGCACTCCATGAACCCAGTCTGGATAAATTACCTTCTAAAATTGTAATTCCAAAATAGTTAAAGTAATATCACTCAACATTTACTGCTAAGACAGGACTGTAACTTAAAGCAATTAGTACATGAAAAAAATGAAATATAAGGGGCAATTATCAGACTTCACCAGAAAAATCATGATCCTAAAACTTGACCGGCATAAGCCGAAGCTTTGTATCAATATAAGACGACCTAGTGTGAAACATATAGTAACCTAATTAACTTAACATGCAAAGAGGACGACACTAAACAATTGACAGCAGTCAGAGACACCATACTGGAGTCATAATCAACCCTGAAGCTCTTCGTCTCAAGAGTGTGGTCATCGTACCTATAACGCACAAGTATTCGAAAGGTTTAAATTTTATCTTTGAGGTAATACCAAGTATCCTGCTAACTCGATGGAAAGCGATATGCAATCCATAGAAACTAATCAATTTGTGAAACTTAAGCTCTTTATCTTCGACATATCCTTTGCCACGATTTATTTTTCTAAGAAATGGAGGAATGATGCCTGTCTCTTTCAGCTTTGGACAATGCCAATTAAGACACACGTCAAAGCAGATTCATTTTAAAATGGTAAATAACTACTATTTATTTTCAACATGGAAAAGGCGATTAGAGGGTGCACCCTTAATGAACATCAGCATCACAATGAACAAAAAGCTCCAAAAATTAATATAACACAATCTTTGTTCACAACAAGCAAGTTTTTTACACAGTTTTCGGAAACTTGTTTGCTAACACATCAACTAGCTTTCACATTTCCATCTTCCTTGTATCAACATAATGTTGAAACTTAAAACAAATACGCTCAACAGTTACCAATCAAAATAAATAAATAATAAATACACTTAACAGTTGTCATGTTTACGACGATAAAACCTCTTATTATAATCTCTCATCTCCCTAACTTGGTGTTCATGTTTCACAAATCACAATCTCCCACAACTCAAAAGAATCTCCCAGAATCCGATCAAATAAAGCTCCCAACAGGTACCCAAATTTTTTATCTTTCAAAGTATTACCTGAAAATAAAGCAAGTTGCCCATTTCACCACTCGTCACTCTTCTCCGTATCAACCACTTGTTCTATTTTCACTAGAATAAATCAAGTGATCTTGAATCGCCATTGCATCCAGATACCCACAACCCTTTCCCCAATCCAAACGAAAACGTACGATTACATAAAATGTAAAAGTAATCTACTAGTGAACCATGGCCCTAAATTTCTTAACCGGACCTTAATCACACCCCCAAAACAAAACATCCACCCTCAAAATCATAAAAAGGCGAACCTTTGAGCTGACAAACCTATGAGCGACAAATTTAAACACAGAACGCACTCAGAAGAGTAACAAACCCAGATAATGGATCGGGAAAGGACAGTACTCACCAGTATCGAACAGCTTTACACTGTGAGCACCTTGTAGTAGTGGGGCTGCAACAAACGGCACAATAATGTTGGTTCTCGAGCTGCGGCTGAGGTTGCGGAGGTGAACTGTACTCTTCAAAAGCTTGAAGCCTAGCAATTCTTTCCTCCTCTTCCGAGGCTACAGCAACTAGCCTCAAAATCTCCTCCTTCTTCGCAGCCCCATTCTTCCACTTGTACCGAACTACCAGGCCGAAAATCAGTAAGATTCCGACAATCACTAACATCGAATAGTGTTGATTCCAATTCAAAATTAACCGGCGGCGAGAATTGACACGGAGCCGAATAAAAACCTCAGAAGCCGAATTATCTTGCAATTCATAGAGG